TTTTATAATTTTTTTTTTTTTTTTTTAATCTTAGTTATTCTGACTGGGGTTAGGTGGTACCTCATTGTGGTTTTGATTTGCTCTCCCTTCAGATAAGAAAGTTGAACATTTTTTCATATGGTTTTTGGCTGTTCAGGTCTTCCTTGCAGAGTTGTCTGTTCAGCACATTTGCCCATATTTTAATTGGATTGGTTGTTTATTTATTTGGATGAGTTGTTTGAGTTTCCTGTATATTCTGTTTATAAGTCCCTTATCTGAAGCATGCTTTGTAAATATATTCTCCCACTCTGAGGGTTGTCTCCTCACTCTGATTATTGTTTCTTTGGCTGTGGAGAAGCTTTGTTTAAATTTTTACTTATTATTATTATTGTTGTTTAACTTGCTATAGGGCACATGCACTCACTAGAGAGAGAGACAGAGAGTGAGCGTGAGAATGAGGTAGAAAAAGAAAAAGCAAGCCACCAAGTTTGGGATTTGAACTGCCATCAGCCATTTGGGAATCCATCACCTTAACCACCATGCAACTTGCTGGCCCCTATGCAGAAGCTTTCTTCAAAGAAAGATTTTTGTTTGCCAGAGAAACAGAAAGTTAGAAATCACCACTCCCCCCCAGGGGTGTGGGCCATACTGCAATCCCTCGTGGCCAACTGTGGTTCAAGTCTTGTAACCATCAGCTTAAAACTCACACCGAGTGCGTGTGCATGCATGCTCAAGATCCTGAGAGAATAGAAGAGAAGGGATTATGGTGTGGTCATCTCCCCTGGAGAGTAATTTCTTGCTTTCTGTTTCTGTTTCTCCAGTGAGCACACACACACTAGAGCAAAAATCTCTCTCAAAAAAAAAAAAAAAAAAAGAGAGAGAGAGAGAAAAGAAAACACCTATGCACCCCAGTTCCCGTGTTGGAGTAAGCCACTCACTCCTGCTGAGTAATTGGGTGAGAAAAGATCTGCTGGCATGAGGATCTTGGAGTACCTACTTTGCTTCTTTCTAACTTCTTCAAATGATGTTCAGATTTGCCTGAATCTTGCTTTTCTCTATACTGTTCTGTTCTCATGGAGAATCTACGTATTTGACCCCAAACTTCTAATCCAGACTATTCTTTGATTATTTCCTTAGATTTATTGGACGAAAGAAATATAAAAAAGATCATTGAGTAAGTCAATGTTTTTATCATTCTATTATTCTGTTTATTATCTTTGGCTTATTCTATAGTAGATTTTATTAATAAAATTTGTGACACAAACTATCACAGGCAATTTGTAGATCACTGAAAACAGACTATATCTATAATCATAAAACAATTTGATAATAGCTATGTTAAATCAAAAAGAGCACTAAGTAGAGGGAATAAATTTGATTATTATACATATGAATAAAAATAATAATTTGGTTGTATGTCTGTGTTTTTGCTTAGAATTCTTGTGGTTAAAATTTCAACTACGTTAGAGTTGCTGTAGAAGGAGTAGTCGGCAGGTGGGAAATAGCTGTCATGAACTTCAAGAACATGTTAGAAATCATCTACCTACATAAACTTGAAAAGCCACACATGTTATATTTGATTTTCTGAAGGTTATTATTGGATAATTTATTTTCATATCTAACATAGCTAATATTTATTTCTAGATTTATATAATCTACTAGCTTGAGTCCGAAAGGTTTTACCTTTGATTGGCTTTAATTACATGTACTCTTTTTGATTTTCCTTCTTTCTCAGTAAGATTTTAGGTCAGCTAGTTTCTCCCTATTTTTTTTTTTTATACAAGAAGGCAAATTGCCATTAAAAAATAGGACTGTATAAGGAAAGAAATTTATGGTAAGGTTTTGTGACCTAAACCCAACTGTTAAAATTTTTCATGTCTAATCCAGGCTTAGAAATTGCTTATTGTCTGACCTAAAAGCTTATAAACCTTACGGAGACCTCATTCAAGAAATACGAATTCTGCTGCTGGGTCCAACTGGAGCTGGAAAGTCTAGCTTCTTCAACTCAGTAAAGTCTATTTACCAAGGCTATGTCACACATCAAGCTTTGGTGGGCACTGATACGGCTGGGATATCTCAAAAGGTACATACATTTTAGCCCACCCATTCTCTGCTTCTTTGTTGAAACTAATTATATACACGTATTTGATTTTTTATAATTCAATCACTGTATAACATCATAGCATGCACATGAATTTTTCCAGCACAAATACACTGTATATTAGCCCAGTCAAAGAAATGATCGTACATGTTATCATCAGCAGATAATTTTCCATTTGTATGTACTTTAAATGTTTTGCTTCTTTCTTTGTCCCTTGATTCCCTTCTTCTCGTCCTTCCTCATTTCCCACCCTCCTCCCACATGGTCTCTTGTCTCCACAGTTGCTCTCCATGCTTTTTTATCACCCAGTCTTTCCATTTCTGCCATAGAGCGCAGACATTTTAAAAAGTCTCTGCTGATCAGCTTTCTTACATGTAGACAACTTTTCGATTTACAAGTAAGAACAACAACAACAAAAGAGCCCTCAAAGTTGCCAACTTTTCGATTTACAAGTAAGAACAACAACAGAAAAAGAGATCTCAAAGTTGCTTTTTTCCCCTCTGCAGTACAGGACATATTCTATCAGAGAAAAAAAGGATGGGAACGCCTTGCCGTTTATTCTGTGTGACTCGATGGGACTGGGTGAGAATGAAGGAGGCCTGTGCATGAATGACATAGTGAACATCTTAAAAGGCCACATTCCTGATAGATACGAGGTAAGATTTGGTCAATTGTTGAGACCCAGTAATAGATTTTTAAAATGCGTATTTTTGTTCACCATCCACAACGGCACACTTTAGTCTTAGGTCAGTGCATCAACATTGACTTTCTTAGCAGTATTTGTTAAAGAGCCTTCCTTTTTTGATGTTTTATTTCAGGAAGAATAAAAGCATCTGGGACATGGCCTCCTTTTCTGTGTGGGGAGCAGACATGAGTTCCACTCTCTGTTATGTATCAGGCAGAGGGAAAGGGGATCCAGCCCCTTTCATGTCAGATCTTTGTGGCAGTGGTTTCTGATCCACCGGTTCTATTCTCAAAGGTTGGGACATAAGGTGGGGATATGGGGACAGCTAGGACACTTCTGTCATAGCTATCATAACAGCCATGAATGCTGTTATTGCTCCAAACAAGTGTATTTGGCTATGGAAAGCAGAATGTGGTCCCCAGCTTCAGCCAGCAAGGATCATGGGCATATGCGCACGTGCACTTGTATCTAAGGGGGCCCTAGGATAGGAAACTAGGAACTTTCCATGTGGGTGCAGTTGTCATCCCAGTGGTACAGTGGTAACACAGCTTTTTCATATGTAAAAAAATATATATAGATTTGTGGGTCCCCCTTTTTTTGACAAGTGGTAGAATACTATATTTTATCGATATATCAGATTTTGCTGCTACAAATAGTTCTGAAGTTAATCGCCTTGTTGGTGCACAATTTTTTATTTGTCACTATGTCTCTAAGACTGGTTTCCAGCAGAGGATTTGCTAGTTAAAGAGTAAAGGTATATCCTGAACTACTTTCACCCTTGAGCTCTGCCAGATGATACGTTTTCTTTGAATATTCTCACCTCCATCTTTGCCCACATTGCTTCTTTTATCTAGAACAGTTTCTGCCATTTCCTCAACTCCTTCGTCAGTCTCTCCATCTTTTAGTTCTCGGATTACATATCCCTTCTGCACAAAAGCCTCACCTGACTAGGTGAAATGATTGCTATATATTTGCATAATGCTTGTCTTCTCTGCCAGATTGTCAGCCTCATGATATTAGAGACTAGTCTGTGCTTTTCACTCCCACAGTGCCTAGCACATGGAATGTGCTCTTAAATATTTGTTGAATTAATATATTGGTTTATATCTACCTTACAGAATAATTCCTTGAAACCAATCACATCAAATCATCCTAACTACATTGACTCCCCTTTGCTGAAGGACAGAATTCACTGTGTTGCATTTGTGTTCGATGCCAACTCTATTGAACACCTCTCTGAAGAGATGGTGGCAAAGATCAAAAGAACTCGAAGGGAGGTGATAAAGTGTGGTGAGTCTCGTTCCAGTTGACTACTAAGGGTAATTATTTCGACTACATTGTGGATGGCTTTTAGACAAGATGAAGAACTTAAGTAATTGCATTTTTGAGTCTTCCTGCCCCATCATCATGGTCCAGTCAAACTGAACATTCATTAGCTGTATGACTTGGTGCAAGTAACTTAAACTCTCTGTGCTTCAAATTTCATAATCAATAAAATTAGTAAAATAATAGCTTGTTCCATAAAAATATTTTGTACAAGTTAAGTAATAAATTTATATGCAATATACATTCTTACACACATATACACATTTACATATATATATATATTTATATATATATATATATATATAGAGAGAGAGAGAGAGAGAATAGAACAGTACAACCTACCTGTTACTCTTGTATCTTATTATGCATTATTGACCAAGAGTTCTAGATTTCCCCTTGGGCCTTAAAGAATTATAAAGTGAAAAGGAACATTTCAGTAACAGAAAGAAGCAGGGAAGTATGGAGTTTGGTAAGGAGAGGTGGCATAAAGGCTTTGGAGAAGGTAGACAAGATTAGGGATGCAGGGTGCTTGTCTTTGGCTTTGTTTTGGCATTATTAAGCAAGAGTCCGTTTTTCACAACTTTAAGTTAGAAGGGAGTGATTGACTTACCTGATCACTGAAAATTTAAATCTTACAAAGGTGGGGTGCAGGGAAGTGGTTGCTAACCTTGTGAGAAAGGCATGGTTTACTTAGGATTCTTTGACACATTCTGTTTCCTTCTGGAGGCCTCTTCTCTTCCATCATGCTTATCAAAACCTTTGGTCTTTTCTTTAGTTTATAACAACACATAGCTATTTAGTTATGATAGTAAATCAATCAACAATGTAGTATAAATTGTAGTTCCCTCTTCCAAGAAGTGGTTTCATTTGAAGCCTCATTTCTTACCACAGAAGGCCATGAATGTGAATTCTCATGTCACAGAAATTCCAGGTGTTAATCAATAGTCTAGGGGTGCTTTGTGGAGGTAGGGTGGAGGTTGGGTAACTTCTTAAAGCTAGCTCCATTGATAGTCTATTGCATGACTTATAGCTGATTAACTTCAAAATACTGATACTGCTTGTAATGATAAAAACCTTTTGTATCTGTTTGGCATAGGTGTGATGCATATAGCTTTGCTTACGCATGTGGACACAATGAATCTGATTACAAAAGGTGACCTTATAGACATATACAGATGTATGCCTGTTAAGATTAAGGTAATGATGCTCTTTGTAAAAATGTTTTCTGGGGTATGTCACTATTATCATCTGATGTTGTGTATAAAAATAAAACAAACCTCTACTAAATTTCACAAGAATTAAAATAATTGCTTGAGTAATTCAGTCTCATTTCTCCAGTTTATAAATCAAATATATGTTTATCTTTACAATGATGTAGATAATTCTATAGCCAAAGAAATTATCATGCACACTGTCATCAACAGATAATTTTCCATTATTTTAATCAGACTCAAGCTAACAAATATTTGTGAGTTACCTTTAATTATGGAGTGAGCGTAATCATTTCTAAATAGATACACAGAAAATGGAAACAACTTCCCTGCACTAAAAGGTTTACAATTTTATAATAGAGATGATGATAGAAGAGTGAGACAAAAACCAGTTGAGACAAGAATATGACATGATTATAATAAATATTATTAAATGATTAAAAATAAAGTGCTTTAAAAACTTAGAGGAGGAAAATACTGTGTTAAAAGAGATGGGGGAAAATTTCATCAGTGGGGAGGAACTAAGAAATGTTTTCATGAAGGAATATTTTAGGATGTTAAGAGATAAAAGATAAAAAAACTCAAGTTTGTAGAGCATGAGTTAATGTATTAGTGATGAAAAAGGCAGAATGTTTGAAAAGCATGAAGTTGTTCAGCTTGATGGAAGGCTAGATTCTTGTAGGGGGAGATAAAATGAAAAAGAAAAATTTACATGATGTTTTACTTATTTAGGTGCACTATAGAGACTCATAGCAGTTGTTTTTTTTTTAAAGTAGCAATATGGTCAAAGTTAAGCTTTAGAAAAATTCATCTGCCACCTGTGTGCAGGATAGATTGGTGTCAAAAGGAACGTGGTGGTGGGAGCACTAGATGGGAGGATGTAATATAGCTAATATCAGTTAAGCACTAACTATGTGGCAGAATCTATTATTCAATCCGTATAGCAATCTTATGAGATAGAAACTGTTATTACTACATTTTCTAGATGAGGAAACCAAAGCAAACAGAGTAAGACACTTGCCACCATTCACTGACAATGTTCAGAAGTGCTAGAGCCATATTCTAAATCCAGGAAGTCTGATTTCATTGAAAAACTAGTCTAAGCAAGAAACAGATATTAAAGTGGTCTAAAATATGAACTTATTCTGAAAATATTTTTAAAAATAAAATTATGAACTTTACCATAGGTGTATTAAGATGTTTCAATGTTATAGTACTTTCAATACAACTATGAGTTACCTTTGTTTCTAATTGAGATTGAATCCATTTTGTGTATTCTAAATAAAATTAGCAGTGATATTATAAATCTTCATGTGAAGTCCTTGAAGCAAGTGTGTTGAGAAGCTGAATCTCTCTTTTTCCCAGTAGGAAAATTATTGTGTAACTTCTATTTTTGTTTTCATAATTTATATTGACATAAAATAATATATTTTACTATATTGAGATATTTGGATTTAACTTCTGTATTGCAGCTAAACCAAGTCAACAGAAAACTTGGATTTGCTCTGTCTGACATCTTGGTGGTTAGCAATTATACCTCAGAGTGGTCGCTGGACCCTGTAAAAGATGTTTTGATCCTTTCTGCACTGAGACAGATGCTGTGGACTGCAGATGACTTCTTAGAGGACTTGCCTCTTCAGTAAACAGGTAGATGTGTTTGGTGGAGCAGAAGCCTGAAGGTGTCAGCTATGTGGCTGTTTCTTACCTGGATGTGTTAAATACCTGGCAGCTCTCTGTCCCTTTGTGAGTCATTGCCCTGTGATTAATGTGCCCTTTAACCTGCTGGCAGGATGCACTTTCCCCTTCACAGTTTCCCCCCACCTCCACCATCTGCCACAAATACATCCTAAAGGAGCTGCACTACTCTTGCTCCTTGCCTTGTTTGAAGATGAAACTTTGAACATAAGCCACCTGCTATTTCCACTGTCTGAGCATCCCAAGTCTTATCTCTGGCCTCTTCTCTCAGAACGTGCTTCTTTGCTTGAGACCTAGAACTGGATTCGATTAGCACTGTCCCTGGTCAGATCTTTGATGACTTGTCCTTTCCTTAAGAATTTTTGCTTCTACCTTTTTTTGACCTTTCTCCCTCACCTTAGTCCTTCTTTGTATGGTGTTATTGGTGCTAGGGAGAAGAATGTGCCTTTTATGTCTGTGGCTCAGGATTTGGCTTTTTTGAGTATTCTCTGTTACCCACCTGCACATTGTAATGCTGCATGGTTCCTGTCAAAGATTAGATAGAGATATCAGTTTGTCATAATCAAGTATTACTTCAGTCCTGGGGAAATCTAGTTAGAATATCATGTCCTCCCTAATTCTCTCATACTCTCAAATTACTGGGAAACCCTCATACTACTACCTTGCTGTCTTCACTCTGCCATCTTGGTTTCTCTCTCTTCTCTTCTTCATGGCTTGTATGCTTCTAATGTTAGGGTGGGTTCATAACTTTAGTCATACAATGTTCATTTCTTTTCTGATTGCTTTTCCCAGATAATCTATTAAGACAATTTTGTTTCTCTTTTCTCAGAGATTAGAGAAAGGAAATTATCAAGTGTTCAAAAGAAGAAAATAAACATGAACCCATCACATGTTAATGTTTTTTGTCTCCTCGAGGAACAGTAAAATTGAGAAAGGAAAAAATCACAGGAATAAAGATAAATAACAGAGGGCCGGCAGGTGGCATGGATGTTGAGGCGGCTGGATCCCACAGGCTGACCGTGGTTGATGTCCTGGACCCGGCAGCTTGCTCTCTCAATTTCTTTCTCCCTTTCTGTCTCTCTCTGATCAACTTCAATAAAATAAAAATAATAGAATGTGACAATGGATAAAATTATATAAAATAATTCTTTTAAAAAAGATAAATGAGATTGAAAATGCTTATTTTGTGTCTGTCTATGATGAAGATAGAAATAAAAAGTTATCAGACCTATAAAAACTAGAAATGGTAACATTAAAATCATGAATTGTGAAAAACAACTATAATTTCTCTTTTACTTATAGTCTGTATCTACCCAAAAAAATAAAGTTTCTTTTTATGAAACCTGGTCTAAGGTGGTTGTATGTTTTTGTATGAATGTGTGTGTGTGATTCTGAAAACGCTTATTTTGATATGACTTTTCAGCATCTTCTGATATTCACTCCTTTTGTTTTAATTTAATTTAATTTAAAAAATACTTGATTTTAGTCTCATTAAACACCCCCCCCCATAAATGCTCACTTTTAAACTTAAAGTTAGTTTTTATTTTTTAAATTTTATTTATTTTTTTCTTTGGAGAGGTTTTTGCTATAGGGCATGTGTGCTCGCAGAAAGACAGAGAGAGACAGAGAGACAGAAAGCAAGAGATCACCGTCCGGGGGGGATGGCTAAGCCTCAGTCCCTTCTCCTCCATCCTCCTCTTGGGATGGAGAGCAAGCACATGTGCCAGGCGTGAGTTTAAGCCACCAGGTTCGGGACTCGAAACCGCGGTCGGGTACATGGGAGTTAAGCGACATAGCCATTATGCTAACTGCTGGCCCCAAGCCGCTATATTTATCAAGTTTCCAGATCTGAAACTCGAACCACTGGGTCAGACATGTGGGATCCAGCTGCCTTAATTACAATGCCACAGGCTGGCCCAGAGCTAGCAGTTCTAATAAATGTTAAGCTATCTGAATCCAAGCTTTAGTCTCACATTCATTCAGTCTTGTGAAATGAAAAGAAAGGATTTTTCTATCCTGTAGTCATTGTGAAATATTCCACAAAAAGTCTGCAATTGATTTATCTTGAGTAATGGCACCACCACTTTGTACAGAGGAGCAAGAAAATATGGTCAACTCATTTTAAGTCATACCATGCCAAGGAGGGTAATTTAATACTAGAAGAGAGTCAATCATGAACACTGTTGAATTAACTGAAAAGGAGAGGCAGTATAATACATACCTTAGAGATTCTGGGCATTTTGCATCTAGTTGATGTTTTAGATTTTAAAAAATCTTTTTAATTAGGCTAAAATTTTTAACAAGTACTTTTAAAAAGCTTTTTTGAAAGTTTAAAGTACAGCAGGCACATGACAAGCACATTGTTAAGAAACACAAGGCTTGATACATGTTTACAATCCTAACAAATTCTAGAAGGGTACTTGTAATCTGTAGTATACTATCATAACCTTGTAAGACAAGATCATTACCCAAAGTAAGTTGATTCATTACAATGATGCTATTGTAATAGCTTCTCTATCAGAACAACGACAACAAAAAGGATCCAGGGCAGTCATGAGTACAGTGATAGCTCATTAAGTTCAATTTTAAGGGAAAAACATGGGCCAGGATCATAACAGGATTTTCACAGATGGTACAGAGTATATGCACTATGCAGTGTTATTGTTTGAATGTCCCTCCAGAGTTCACGTATGGACATCTGATGAGCCATTGCAATGGTGTCAAGAAGTTGAAGACTTAATTCAGTGATGGTTTAGAAAGGGAGGCCTTTGGGAGGGATTAGGATCAGATAAGGTCATTAGGATGGGGCCCTATGATTGAATCATGGGGGTTTACAAGGAGAAGGAATTAAACAGACATGTGAATACAAGTTCTGCTTTCTTACCATATGAAGCCCTGCACTACCTCAGGAACCTAGAGTCATCACTGACAAGAAGACCCTCACCAGATATGCTGTCTTAACCTTGCCAGAGGATGTGTGTGCTTGCCAGAAGAGAAACAGAGAGACAGAAAGAGAGAGAGAAGGAGAGAAAGCACCCCTCAGTAGAATGTGGTCATGTTGTAATACCTTTTTCTCCAATTTGTCCTGACAGGATTCTGGGCACACATGTACATGTGCCCAGTATGTTTTTCAGGCCCCTGGACATGGGGTTTGAACCATGGTTAGCCATAGGAAATCCTGTTCCCTTAACCACTATAATTCAGGGCCAACCCAAAACCTCTATTCTTTTTAAATTATCCATTGTGGAATTCAGTTGCTAGTAATAGAAAAGCAGACTAAAGCATGTATTGTCTTTGTCAGGCTCTACTAATAAGAAAGTGGTACAATGATTTGTAGGGCTAGTTGGATTTTGAAGAATACATATATTGTACTCATGATATTATTGGCCTTTATATATCAAGTGGTCAAAAAGAAATCTCAGTTTAGGGTCTAAAACAAAAAATGCTTTGAAAGAGTTACAAAGGATAAAATAGAACTGAAGAGTAAACTCAAGCCATGTAATGCTGATACACAAATTATTTTCAAAGTGCTATTCAAACATATGTAGACTAAATTTACTAGCAGAAATCTGTTACTGTTTCCTCATGGTGGACACCATAATATTTGCACATGCAAGTCATCTGATGCCAGTAGTTAAATACAATCACTCTACTAGTAAATTGTCCTGAAACTAGACTTTGGTAGAGAAAGCTCCCATCATTGAAGGACTTCAAATAAATCTGAGACTCAAAATACTTATTAATTATATTAATGTCAGAGAGGTATTCCAATAATAATGTCACTAACAATAATGGATAAAGTGGGTTAAAGGGAAATGAAATAGTAAGTGATAAAATAAACGGTAGCAATGAGCTATGTTCAACCCTGCCTTTGAGATAAAACCACCAGAACTGCCAGTTGCTATTGCTGAACATTGTAAACCTACAATTTTTGTTTCTACGAAAATAACACAAGCATCCCAGTAAATATTTCCTGGTAAATATTCTCCAGTTGAGGGACATGACTGCCAGTTGCTATTGCTGAACATTGTAAACCTACAATTTTTGTTTCTACGAAAATAACACAAGCATCCCGGTTTCCTGGTAAATATTCTCCAATTGAGGGACATGATGCTTGCTGGAAGTCTAATCTCTAAACTTTGGTTGATGAAGGCAAGGCTAAGTTTGCAAAATGGGCAGAACTAAGGGAAGCATATCTGACAGTGCAGGAAAATTTAGAATCTCATCTGGAGTAATGTTTATATATTTATGGATGTATACTGTTGACAATGGCCTTAGATTTAGTGGAGAAGGAATCTACATGATTGAGTATGCTGTGAGGAGAATTAAATTATAAAAATCTGTGAGAATTTAAATGGTCATGCCAATGATCATCAGATGCAACCTGGCTTCTGACTGATAGGAGTTAGAATACACTGATCCATTCCTGGGATGTTTCTGTTTGGGTCCATGAGAATAACAGGAACATCGTTACTCCAGCTATAAATATTGGATAAAATAATGACATTACTTTATGGAAACTGCTGGAGAGATAATACTCTTTGCAAAATGCTATTAGAAAGAGAATTTCCAAGAGACTATTTGGAATAAAATTACTCAACGGTGAAGAATAGCAGGCAGAGTAAGTAGGACCCTTATTAGTAGCCCTAAGTAGCTTCAACAGGGTCCTAACTAGAAAAAAATGCATGTTAAACTTTTACCTTGTTTAGCCTTTGGGTACAGCAATGACTTAGGGCACAACTAAAGATTTGGAACAACAGAATGTGACTAAACCCAGCCGCCTATGTTACATTTCATCAGATAACAGTGTACATGTCATTGTTGCCTATATACAAAAATGCCTATGCTAAAAAGGAGACATACCTTCATACGGACTTACCAAATTCCATATCATTCGTATAGTATCAGTTTGGATAAAAACTGGAATGGATCTTTCTGCATTTTTCTGGTGTTCAAGATGTCTAAGCAAGGTTGTGGTGAGTACTCTGGTGTGAAAATCCCGATTTCTCTGTATTTTCCAGTAGATGTTATAATCAACTGGGATAACAACATGGGAGCCAAAAATCTGTATATAATCATTGTGAAGGGGATCAAGGGATGTCTCAATAGACTTCCTGTGCTGATGTGGGAATAGCTAGGGATGGCTGCAGCCAAGAAGGCACATATAGAGCTCAGAAAAAAAAGGTGTATTTAGCAATGGTAATTTGACAAATGAAAGTCATGCTAGAGAAAAGATGGTGTGTTTCTTTATTTTGAAGATAACATAGGGTTCACAGGAAACAATAAAGGTGAGAGATGAGAGGTTCTGCCATAACAGGACCAGTTTGCAAAGGAGTGTGCAGATCTGTGACCCAGGATCATGTGTTCTATGCTTATAGAATTACATGATTTTCCAGTGTACTTGTAAATCAAACAAACAACATTAGAATATTAAATATTTCTTCCTTTCTCCCCTCCAAGAAACCTCAAAACTTCAGTGGGCAAATAAGTATCTGTTGATTAAAACTGGTGATGATGAAGATTGTGGAAGACTAACTGGCTTGATTGGATAAATATAAAGCAGGAAAATCATTAGGAAAGTTTTGTGTTTATGGTTTAGACAGGAAGAGGAGCATGATAATGCACTCACACAACTTTATCTTTCCTATAGAAATTGTCTTTAATATTGCCAGATCATTGTATCAGAGTCAGGCTACAATAGCATATCTCATCACAGGAAGGCATTGCTACTCAGGATACTATTTCATTTTCTCTATATTTGACTTGCATGCAGGCAAGGAAACATTGGACTTGACAGTATCTGAGCTCTTGTGTCTAAAATAGGACTGGTCGTAAGTGCTGCCTTGCTGTCTAGAAATGAGGTAGTGGAACACTACTCATATTTCTACTTCTGCTTTATAGAAATGGACAGAGGAGAATCCCTGGCAGGGCTATTTCAGCTATCTGTCTTGTAGGTAAGTAGAGGACACACATGTATGGAGTAAAATCTGGCACTAAATAGACAAGAAACAGTAAAACAAGCATTGTGCCAGATGGGAAGGGAGCACATA